AAGACCTTTCCGGAGTCGGACAAAGAAACCTCTCAAAAAGATCCTGCCAGTATGTCGTTTTAACGCTAACTGGTACTAATAAATTATTCCACAAACCGTTTGCAACTGCAAAAAATTGAGTTAAAATTTTTCTTTTAGTTAAATATAGTTTTCCATGTTTCTTACGTAAAAAAATAGAATATCTTTCGAGCGTGACTTTTCTGACTGAAGAGAAAAAAATCTCTGGTGAAATATGTGGTATCGGCATATCCATCAGAAGCAAGTAGTATGCTGAAATCTAATGTAATAGACTAAATTACAACTGCAAAATCGTCCCTCTGGAATTCAGGATAAATCGAGATTTCCATGTCTAACTATTGTCATCTGAAAATTATTAACATTTTTTTAATCGATGCATGAACGTATCTCCTGCTATCGATAATGTTTATTAAAAGTTTCAAAAACCAATAAAAATTAAAAAAATTGAGATATTCAAAGAATGTTTTATAGAATTTATTTAATAATAATATTATTTGTATTATTACATACTGACCGTCTTATGATCTTGTAATATTCTAGTATATAACTTTAAAATCTAAGGCCAAACATACAAGAACATTCGACAACTGTCGCATCTAAAAGACGGTCGCATCTAAAAGACGGTTTACCCTTACGACTGTCAATTAAAATTTTTATATGTGGCGGCGGTATCAGCGATACTAAATTTCGTAGCAAATCTCTCAATGTCATCAAAACTTGAAGTAAATCGGCTTTGTGTTTATCGAGAAGTGACCAAGGTGAAGAATCCCTACATGTATTGGTGCAAATGTCGTTATGTCCGATCATCAACGAGATTAACTGCAAACAGATTGTTGTTATTAACATTTAATTGCCAGGAACTAATTATTCTGGTCAACAAAGTTTCTGTGACAAAACCTACATTTTGTGTTTACACGTTTACACGTTCCGTGCCGCGTGGGGCGTATGCACAGAATTTTCCGTTCAGGCCGTTTGGGATTCTCATAGAAAAACGAAGTATTTTTTTATTTGTTGTAAAGTCAAGTAGAGGCATCTTAATATCATGTATACCGCGTTTATCGTAGCGTGGGGTGTGCATGCCCCACGCGGCGTGGCAATCATTTTTTTCGACTGTTTTTGCTCAAACAGCAGAGATTGAGTTTCTTTTTTTTCGACTGGCTTTTGTGCAAACGGCAGAGATCTAGTATCGTTTAGTCATTTATTCGCGTGTCGTTGAAGCAACAATTAGTGTTTGATTTAAAGCTGGTGTTTATTTAGTTCAGTGTGTTTCTAAAGTAAAATCAAACGTAGGATACATAACATATTGTATATACTTATTTGAGTGTTACAGAAAAATATTTATATAATTTTTACTCCTTATAATCAGAGATGGTATTGCACAATAAAAATTTTTTAAGTGATGGCTGTGACGTATCACTCTCAGAAGTCATAATGA